ACTTGCAATTATTTTTGACTTTTTGTACCAAAGGTGGGGTGATGATAGAGGTGGCTTCCCTATTAGAATAGAAACACCATGAGGACAAAGATGTGTCTGCTTTTTCAACACTTAAAATGTGCCTGCAGTATGATACTCAAAAGCTTAGCATCTAGTAAATGACTAAATAGAGTACTATTCTATCAGCCAGAAACCTCCAGCATTTCAAAAGATCCTGTTTTCCTGAACTTAAAAGTTATGCAGGACAGAAGGGAACCTAGAGCCAGGGGGCCTCGAGGAAGGCAGAATCTCTAGTGAGTAGTATCCAATCTGCCTAGGCGGAGGTGATGAAATAAAATACAGATGGGTCTCTTGTGATACAATAGTGTATAATTGTTATCAGGACTGATTGTGAAGGTTGGAAATGTAAGGCAGACATTTTATAGAAAGGAAGGGAGGGAATAACTTTTCAGTCTAGGAGCGGAGCTCCCTAGGACCCAACAGAGAAGAGCCGAGAGCAGGAACCTACCCAGAGAATCAGTGATGCCGACGTGGAGCAATGGAGCAGCTGGAGACCTTAGATCCAGAGAGGGAGAGGGACTGTGTGCTGAAGACCGGCGGGGGGGTGGGGGAGAGCAGAATAGTGTAGGGGGCAGGCTTGCAGGGTATACCCTTTGGTCAGTTGATGATGCATGGATGGGATTGTAACCATGGCAATGATACAATGTACAATAGAATGAATGTAAAACTAATGTTCTCCCATGTAAACTATCATATAATTCACAATAAAACACTTAAAAAAAAATAAAGTTATACAGGAATAATGAAAATAATATTACAGAGCTACCAGGCTATATAACTTCCATACAGTTTTCTCTAATCATCACAACTCTGTAAGGTAAGGATAATGGCACCTGTAACTGACAAAACTGAGTCAAGGGAATGAAGACACTTGCTCAGTGCTACATAGCTGATGGCTTATGGAATATGGGCAGCAGAGTATGGTATTTTGACACTTGGCCTAACTTCAAAATCCATGTCCTTACCAGTAAACCACATTTAAACTTGTTTATGTTGTCTATTGTTGTTGTTGTTAAGTGCCGTCGAGTAGGTTCTGACCCACAGTGACCCTGTATAGGGTTTCCGAGGAGCAGCTGGTGAGCTCGAACCGCTGACCTTGCAGTTCAAACAGCTTTGCAGTCTGGCGCATTAACCCACAGCACCACACCAGCATTCCTGCTGTCCATACGATCTACCAAAGTGTCTAAAACAGCCCAAAGATAAATAGGGCTATTAAACCTGCCAAGTCCTGGTGTGGTGCTGTGGGTTAATGCGCTGGACTGCAAAGTCAGTTTGAATTACAAGGTTGATAGTTCAAGTTCACCAGTTTCTCCTTGAAAACCATATACAGGTTCAATATGGGCACTTAACAACAACAACAACAACGGCACTTAACAACAACGAAGTCAGAAGTCAGTGGATAATGAGTCCTCTGAGCTTAGGCAGCTGAACACCCCCCAGTACAATTAAAGTCTGACACTGGGAACTGATTCCAGGCAGTCATATCCCCTCAAAGTCATCACTGCTGTTTACAATTAGGGGGGTGATAGTGGGGAAGTTAGTGAAAAATGGAGACCAGGAATTTAAAAGTATTCCTGTCTTATGACAGGGTGCTGACGAGAATGATCATTTTTAAAGGAGTGAAATCACAAAAACAACTATATTAATTAAGCACCAATCATGTGTCAGGTACTGTAGCTTAGATATTTTATCAAGTCACTTAATTTTTATTTTTCCTTAGGGACTACAATATAAGCAAGGGACTACTAACTGATAAGTGAGCAGTTCCCACTACTTACTCCACAGATCTGTTCCTGTAAAGATTTACAGCCTCAGAAATCCTACATGGGGTTGTAATGACAGCGGATAGGTGGTATTTATAGTTGAGGAAAATCAGCTTCAGAGAAACAAAACTGTCTTGTCTCCGGGCACAAAGTTAGAAAGTGAGAGAATTAGGATTTGATCTAGTTCTCTTGATTTGAAAGCTTTATTGCATAACACAGCTTCAGTCTGGCTGGGTGAACTTATTTCTAAAATGGGCTAATGTCAGTAATTGCTCTAAAATCAACCCAGAGAAAGTATAACTTAACTTATATGGGAAAATGAACTTCAAGACAAAAAACAAATAGAAAAATGAAACAATCACTTTAATAGTAAAGCAAAATCCTGAGGGATTTCTTTCTCCTGTGATTCTGATCTGTTAACTTCACAATGGCATTGACTTAAAAAGTAGATGCACAACTTCTATTGTATTAACTAGACTGATTTCTAATAACTATGTCACCAAATTTAACAAAGTAACAGCAATGTAGACTACTGTCTTTTAAGTAAAAAACACATACCACCACCAAAAATAATTTGATAAGTCTGTATTGGGTGTTATGTCATTCAGAAGTAATGAGGCCAGGAGAGAATGATTTCCTGCTTTTGCAATTGCTGTGCATCTGCATAATCACACTGCTATCAGGTATAATGATATGCCACGCACAGTCTTGCACATTACTCAACTGCCTGATAATTTATAATATATTCAGAGACCAATGAAGTATCCTGTTTATAAAGATATGACATCCTTTTATGTAACATTTAATGAAGGGTGGGAAAAAAACATATTCAATAAAATGTCAATATTTACATATCACCAGAAATATTACTTGAACATATTACTATGTCTCATAAATGATTAGTGCAATATTTATCATAGATAATGCTATCATCCAAGTAGCAAACTGATAAATATTTAAAATCTTGAGTATTAAAATTTCAGAGTGATTTACAAAACTTAAAGATGTTAAATGACAAGCATATCTGAAGTGTACAGCAAGATTTTATACTATTTAATGCTTCCTTCCCTTTAATCTCTTTCTTTCCATGGCTTCCCTATCATAAGAGTCTTCTGTTTTTCTTCCTACTTCTCTGACTGCTCTTTTCCTTTTGTACCATTTGCAAGTAACTATTAAGTCTTTCTTCTTTGCTTAGTCTATAATCTTTCCTATAGCAATTTATCCACAACATTGTTTATTTGCTATCTACATACATATGACTCTCAAGTTAGTATTTCCAGTTCCATCTTCTCTTTCCAATTCAGGATCTCTAATAACCAACTGCCAACCTGACCTTTCCTCTTGGATGGTTCAATGTGTATACTTCCCTATGCCCTTTCCTTTCCCTCCTCCTCCAATCAAAATACCTTATCCTTATCTAGTATTCCCTGTCCTGCTGGATGATGTCAATTATCTAACAGGTTGACCAAGTGAAAACATGGAGATCATTCTTGAGACCTCTCCTTTGACACACTCTCATCTCTAGTTTACCCTCACATTGAATTTATTAAGTATTATCTATTTCACCTTCTAAATAGCCCTGAAACCCATTCCCCCCACCCCTTACCTTCACAAATGCAATCCAGCCTATGGTCAACTGTCACGTAGTCTACTATTATTCTAGCCTCCCTAATCTATGTACATATGTCTGTCCTGGCCTCCCTAAAATCTTTTCTTAAATAGTACTCAAAATGAGCCTTTCAAAATACAAATTTAGTGTTAGTATCTCCCTGTTGTTGTCAATGCCTTTGAGTCGGTTCTGACTCAGAGCAACCCTGTAATAGGGTTTCCAAGGAGCAGCTGGTGAGCTTGAATTGCCAACCTTGCAGTTTATACTGACCTTGCCAGTCCAGCCGCTGCATTTAACCTACAATGCCACATCAGTATCTTCCTGCCCCTCACCAAAATCTTTCAATAGCTATGTGTTAGCTGTGTTGTTGTTAAGTGACACTGAGTCAGTTCCATCTAACAGCGACTCTGAATAGCATTTCAGAAAGGCAGCTGTTGGGTTTGAACTGTTGTCCTTGTGGTTCACAGTCCACTGTTGATCCTACAGTGCCACAACAGGAGTCCAATAATATTATTAGGGGAGGAGGCCCTTGATAGAATCTAACAGTCTTGGTGCATGAACCAGTTTCTATGTTTGTACCAGTCTCATCTCCCACAATCTTCATTGGGCTCTCTAGGTCCTACTCACACTGTCCCTTTGTTAGGCTCCCATACTCAGCATCTTCCTTCTTATCACAGGGCTTTGTTGTTTTTATACTCTTCTACCTATGAAACATTTCTCTAAATTAATATGTATTTTTTGTTTCATATGTGCACATCAAGTATCTTTGCTTTGTTCATCTGTGAAATATAAGATGTAAAAGGGAAGCACCAGGGAGGAAGTAGTATATCTGTTGTTGCAGGAGGGGAATGTAATCAGTGAGATGAACCAAAATTTATCATTTGTTGAATGTAAAGCTGATGATCTTGTGTATAAACCTTCACTCAATTCACAATAAAAAGTTAAAAATCAAACAAACAAATAAATTATTTCTCTTCGCCTTGAAATTGGTAAACCCCATTCAATCTTTAGGCCTCAGTTCAAACATCATTACTCAGGAAAGCCTTCCCTTACTAGGACAGATTCCCCAGTTAGGGTCTCATACCTGGTTACTTCTCACAGTTTTAATTTCACATTTGTTATGCCATTATTTATCATGTTTCTTATACTCTGCTGTAAGTTCAAAGACAGTGAGGATGTCAGCTTTAGTTCATTATTGTAACAGCAGTGTCTAACAAAGCCTCTCATACTATTAATGCTCAATAAAAATTTTTTAATGAATTTAAAGTATGTAACTCACGACTATTATTACTGGAAAGTCAAAACTAATAGAATATTAATACAATATTGGGGAACAAAAGGTACAAAAGAGAGAATGCACCAAGAGACAAGGTGGTTTCAAAAAGTTTATGGATAAATGAAATTAAAAGATAATGGGATTTTTTCATGAACTTTTTAAACTCCTTTGTCTGAATTTACTACAATTGAAAATGAAAACTGAAATTGTACTTGAGCAACTTCAAGACTCTTATTACATTGATTGAAAAGAAAGACATGGAAATAAACTTCCATATAAAGCGTATGCTTACCCACTGTCAGTGAACAGGAACTCAAAATGGGTCATAAAAACTTCCCAACGGGATACACTGTAACGTTGTGCCAGAGAAAGAGCAATGCTGTAGACGTTTTCCTCCAGTGTTCTTGAAGAATGTCCATCAAACACAGGAAAGGAGAGAAAAGAAATGCATTACCTTAATCAGCAAAGATAATATTCATTAAGATTGCTTTCCAGCAGAGAAGGGTTCAGTCAGGACATTACCTAATAAGACATTTCACAGTAATTCCAGAGAAGCAATTTTAAGGCATTTTAATACTCCCTTGTCACTGTGGTGCATTTCAATTTACTAAGGCATTGTCTAGATCAGTGGTTCTCTACTAAGAGTGATTTTGCCCCCCTCCTCCCCAAAACATTTGGCAATGTATGGAGTCATTTTGGACTGTCACATCTGGGAGTAGGGGAAGAGTGCTACTGGCATCTAGTGGGAAAAGAATAGGGATGCTACTAACTATCCTATATGTCACAAAATAGTCCAGCAACAAAAAATAGTCTGGTACAAAATGTAGCTATTCTTTATTTTCTTACTTAGTTTATATTACTTTCCATGGCAGTTGTTTTTTGTAACTTACATTATATTTGTCCTTTATTGTCTATGTGGCATAGATAATACATTCTCAGGGGTCCAGGTAGGAGAGCTATGAAAAGGACATAATACCACTTGGCTCTTTCTTACCTTTCTTATCAAATACTTATTGAGCATGTACCTAGTGCTAGGCAACATGCCAGACTTCCATAACATAAATGATAAAGTAGCAATAGTCCTTATTTTCAAGGAATCCTCATTTCATCACTCTGTACAAATGAAGGTAGAGCTGTAAAATGGGAGGAAGCGGGTCCTTTAAGGATCCTTGCAAGCAAGATATTTGAATAGATATTGCTAAAAAACAGCTCCTAAAGCATCAAACTCATGGAAACTCTTGAGACATGTTCAAATTTTAAAAATTAAAATAAAAACACACACAAAGTCTGATGTGTATTTTCTAAGTAACAGATTGTGGAGAAATGTATTATAAATTTATCAAAAGTATATATATTTGTCCTCTAGCATATGATAGCTGGATACTTTACAAAGGTAAGATAAAAACACTAGCAAAATGTAATAAGCCTCGTCTAGGAAGCCATAAACATGGGACCAAGGATTACAAAATGCCTAAAGAGAAAAAAAAAAAAAAATCACACAGGACACGGAATTTTAGTCCTGGTGTGGCACTGCAGGATCAGTACTGGACTGCTAACTACACGGTTGGAGGTTCAAACCCACCAGCTGCTCCTTGGAAATGCTATGCAGGGTCACTATGAGTCGGAACTGACTCGGTGGTACTTATTAACATGTTCAACTCCAGGCTATGTGACACTGAGCAACTCTATTCTCAGACTCCTCTTCCAAACTATGAGGAGGTTGGACTAAACAATATCTTCTGACATCCTGAAATCTGACTTTAAAAAACTATGAAATTATGAACCTCCAGGAGGGTAGATGAAAGGAAATAAAATATTCCATATTTTTCTTCTTAATTGAAAACAGCTATAGGTTGTTATAACTATCGTTCTATGATCTAGCTATTTCCTTCCTTACCCGAAAGAGTTGGACTATTAACCTCAAGGTTGGTGGTTCAAAGCCATCATCTGCTCCTCTGGAGTAAACTGAGACTGCTCCCATACAGATTATGATCTTGGAAATCCTGTGTAGGGCAACTATGACTTGGAATCGACTCAATGGCAGTGGGTTGGGCTTGTTTTACTCTAAAGAAGGAGCTCTATGGCACAGTGTACTAAGCTTTGGAATGCTAATCAAAAGGCCAACGGTTCAAACCCACTAGCTGCTCTGCGAGAGAAAGATGTGACAATCTACTTCCGTATAGATTTACAGAGTTGGAAACCCTATGGAGCAGTTGTACTTTGTCATATAAAGTTGTTATAAGTCAGAATTCAATCCAGGCTTGATTTTACTCTAGAGAGAATTTAGATAAGCACTGGATTATGAATTACAAAGTTGTCAATTCAAACCCACCAAATTCTCCTCAAGAGAAAGATGAGGCTTTCAGCTTCTAGAAATATTTACAGCCTCAGAAACCTTATATAGGGTTTGTCTGAGTCAGAATCGAATCAGTGGCAGTGGGTATAATTATAGAAAAGAAGTCCAGACTAATTCAAAATTATCATAGGGTGTATCAAGGCTACTTTGTCACTTTCTCAAGGATTTAAATAATAATGATTAAAAAGAGCATACGCTACTATCACACTAGGACTTTATGGCTTAAAAGAAATTTGTCAAGAGTGGAGAATAATCATTAAATATAAGCAGAATTTAACCTCAGTTTCAAAGTCTGGAAGCTTAGACTGAACTGCATGCCAATGCTTCCTTGAGAATGCAATTAAGTGTGTATGGAGTGTAGATGGTGTTGTAGACAAGATGTGATAGATTTGATGAGTGAGAGATCTAAATTAAAATCACGATTATGGTCCTTACCAACTATGGAAACTGTGCTAGTTATTTAATATCCCTAAGTCTCATTTTTCTTAGGGGTAACAACATTTTATTTCATAGGGCTGTCTTTGAGGATTAAAAGATATTTATAAAATAAAGTTTAAAGAGGACCTCAATCACAAGAAACACTTAACAAACTGTGGAGTTAACAACAAAATGTCTTTCATAAATAACTATTGTAGGTAAACACATTTTCCCACTTTCTGCCATGTGAGATGTGAATAATGAACACACTGACTACTGAAACAGAAAATGGAGACTAGCTTTATCACCAAGAGGGACACCGAACTTGGAAAGGTACTCTTTTCTCTGATCCTCACACTCTACTAACTGTCTTGCACAAGACCCTGTTCATTTCTTAAAGGGGAGAAAGGGAGAACAGGACTAAACAGCAACTGCTGCTGGGCCCGTGACAGGAAAAATTGCTACAGCCAGTGAACTTCTCTTTTACTGTAACCTAAAATAGACAGAGATACCCTGAGGCCACAACACTGAATCTTTGTTCCAGTATTAAATGCACTTAAATTTTAACATATTGAAGAAATTGAACTGCCATGTACTCCGAAAAGTGAGACATCTAGGCAAAAAAAAAAAAAAAAAAAAGCAATCTTGTTTCTACATTTCTACAATAAACTTGATGCTTTTCACATATGGTCATACTCTGTCACCCCTAACATAATGATAATATTGGTACTGGGCTATCAAAATCATTAAAAAAAAATAATTCTCATTCTTCCTATTCAAATCTGCAGGCTCACAATGTTGTTTGTATCTACTGATCCATTTGGAAAAACACACATCACTCATATCACTGGAATAAGCATGGGAAAGTCCTACATAGAGCAACAGTGAACATAAATCTTTAAAGGACTGTGATTAGTAGTCCTGATTAGTAGTAGTTCTTCAGTATTTTAAACAAAGCCCTTTGTGAGACAAAGGCATCCCTTACTCTGCAAGACCCAGGATAGTTTCCCTTTTATACTGGTCATCTGCAGTAAAGCGCTGCACATCCACGCCCTTCCGAAGGCCCTGAAGGATCTGAGCTTGAGTGAAATCTAAGAGACGTTCATTGTAGTATTGTAATTGCAGAGTCAGTGACACGAGGTCCTCAGGCCAGGCTTCTTGTCCGCAGTGAGTTACATGCCTAGTAACGATTTTGATTAACTCTTTGGGATCAGCCTGTGAAATGAATGAAAAAATATTTCAAAAACACGTGTAAGTTAGTTACACAGAAGATTATGTTTACTAGGCACTTGTCCTTCAAACTGCTGACATGTAATCAAAACTCAAACCTGCCTGAAAAATCAATTATAAAGGTGGCACTTAATCCATTTCACCGACTACAAAGTCAGAGAATTTAATCTGGGAGTATATCTCTGGACTTCTACTCTGTTCTTCTACCTTAAAACCTCCACCAACTTAAAAAAGAATATATTCTTGCCTTTCAAACTATGTCAACCTACAGCAAATTTGTTCCACAACCACCTGCTCATTTATAATAATTCACCCTGGAACTAATTTTCATCATCATTGCCTCTGGATAAATTTTCTTTTGACCACCATAAGTGTTCTCAGTAAGAGAGCTGCAGTTCAATAACCACAGTATAAATGCCTAGACAGCTAAGGAGAAGAGTGTTTCCTCCAGGGATAAGTTAGGAAAAAAATCCATCCTGGTTCTGAAATCATAAATACTTCTAGTTGCACAGGAAAGCACCTAAGTAACTTTTACTGTGCTCAATTTAGGGCTCAATGGGATATTGCACAATAATTTTATCAGCTTTTCCAACAATAAAATTATTCAAACAGAATCAAACCCAGAATTCAACAGCTGACAGGAAAGGAGAATAAGTGATTAATTGGCCACATTTATTTACATTAGAGTTATACTGGATGTCAACGGAGCAATAGCAGTGTAGCTATGATTTTGGAATAACTTAACAGGAAGTCTAATACTTGAACAGCGTTAATTCAATCAGTTCCAATTTCTGGAAAGGCATGGCACATATTTTAATATAAGTAAATTAGGGGGAAAAAACTCTAGAATCTACCTTTGGTTCTCAGAAACATACTTCTAATTATAGTGAGCTGTCAGCATTTTAATGAGTAAGGCATTATTCTGAGTTACACAGGAGATTTGTCAATGTCAAGTCTGTATTACCAAACCTAGCCTGACATTCTCTCTCTTGATCCTATTAAGGAACAATCTGGGAGTACTGATTAAACCAATTAAAGAAATCTTCCCAGATTTCAGCAGGTGGATTTGCAAAAAAGCCAAGCTTACTGTACTGAATCTTTTCCTCTACCTCTATTTATACACGCTGAGTCTGATTCTGAAAAACCATAGATATGTGACTTAAAAGTCAAAAGACCTAGGTCTGAATACTAACTTTTCTACAAGCTACAACATATTCATCTTTCATTCATTCAACACTTATTCTGTGCACCAAAGAAGTCATGGTGACATAGTGTTTAAGCGCTCGGTAGCTAACTAAACAGGTTGTTGTTGTTGTTATGTGCCTTGGAGTCGGTTCTGACTCATAGCGACCCTGTACAGGGTTTCTGAGGCTGTAAATCTTTACGGGAGCAGAAAGCCTCATCTTTCTCCCGCGGAACAGCTGGTGGTTTCGAACTGCTGTCCCTGAGGTTCGCAGCCCGTAACCACTACGCTACCAGAGCTCCAGTTCAAACTCACCAGTCACTGGAAGAAAGATGAGGCAGGATGCTTCCATAAAGATCACAGCCATAGACATCCTATGGAGCAATTCTACTGCACGGCAGTTATGGGTATGAATCAGCTTGATGGCAATGGATTTGTCTGTTATACTATGTACAAAGCAATGTATGAGAGATGGGGGTGGGGGGTTGAGCTTCTAAAGTTCATGAACAAATGGAATGAAAGATAATGTACTTTTCCCATGAACTTTTTGAAGCTACCTCATACTAAGAACTCATGACCCCTTTTCTTCAGGAACTATAATGAGAAATGATCACAAAATATTTGTAAAATGGTAAGATATAAGTAAGGACAGGGTGCCACGAGAATACAAGACAGTGGGACATAGGAGGAAAGTGTCAGAGAAATATTTTTGGTAGTTAATGTCTAGGTAAACTACTCAGGTGCCAGTAGCAAAAAGTCCCATAAAAAAAAACCTAAGCAGATAGACTCCAGCAAAGGGTAGAGCATGTGTTAAGGTGTAAAGGCAAGAAAGAACATCACACATCCTAGAACTTGTCAGTCTCGATGGAGCAAGGCTAGAGACATAAGCAGGGGCTAAAGGTAGAAGACACTTGTACATCATCAACTAAGAAAAGGCTTAAGAAGTCTAGTTCTGCTGTGGTATTGCAGGATAAGCATTGGACTACTAACCACACAGGTGGCAGTTCAAACTTACCAACAGCTCCTCAGAAACCTTAAAAAGGTTTACTATGAATTGGAACCAACTCAACAGCAACAACAACAGTATCTTAAAACCTCCTTAAATCATGTCATTGTTGTTGTTATGTGTCATCAAGTCTTTTCTGACCCATATCGACCCTGAATAAGGTTTCCAAGGAGCGGCTGGTGGGTTTGAACCATTGGCCTTGTGGTTCAAAGCGACTTGCAGTCCAGTGTTTATCCTACAGTGCCATGCCAGGACTCCTTGATACGATACACAAGACCCTTCTTGGTCTGGTCCTTACTTACATCTCTAGCCATGTCTCTTGTCTTGTTTCACCGAGTATGGATGTACAGTGTTGTTTCTTGTCTTTAAACCTTAGCACATACTCTGGTGGCACTGTAGGATAAGCACTGGACTATTAACTTCAAGGCCAGTGATTCAAAACCAACAGTGGTTCTGCAGGAGAAAGATGAGGCTATCAGCCTCAAAAACCCTATATAGAGTGACTATGAGTTGGAATCGACTTGATGGCAGTGGGTGAAGAATTATGTTATGGAGGAAATAAAAAAGTGTCTATAAAGTTTTTTCACACAGAAGCACAATGGCAAAAACATCATCTTATCAAAATCACAGGCAAACTAGGTGGAAAGATGGGAGTATATAGAGCAAATCTAAATGCAATTACAGAGTGACTTGGGAATCATCTGTAAACAGATGCTACTTCTGGCAATGTATTCCAACAAAGGGGATTCTCTGCCTAAGCTTCTACTGGATCTTTGGCTGACCTTTAGCCAAACCCATTTTTATCTGTTGGACAAACTTCCTGGGACACCATCCAGTACCTCTCACCAATGGTACAACCACCTTGTAGTTTCTGGGTACAGGGATGCTGTTCATGGGTTAGCCAGTCCATTTACATTTTTTTCTACGCCCAAGGTGTCCTCTGCTGCTGTTTGTTCTTTTCACACTTCATCTAGGTAAGACAGCTCAGTTATAGACAGAGCAAGAGCAAATAGCCAATGATGAGAGTTTTATGCTGCCACAAGTGCCTCTATGCTTGTTCTTTGACTCCAAGTGCCCCCATTTTGAATTCCACCATTAAGCACATCTTTTCCTCATCTATAATATGGCCCTATATTCATCTATACTGTGAATTACGGTGCTGGACATACAATGGACTGCTAGAACAAACACATTTGTCTCAGAAGTACAACCAAAATGTTCCTTAGTAGAGAGGATGGTGAGATTTTGTCTCTTGTACTTCAGACATATTGTTAGAAGGGTCTAGTCCCTGAAGAATGACATCATGCTTGGAAAGTAAAAGGTAAGTGAAACAGAGGAAGACTTCAACAAGAACTCAACAACACAGTGTCAGCAACAATGACTCAAACATGACAATTATGAGAATGGTGCAGTGTTTTGTTCTGTTATGCATACGGTTACTATGAGTTGGAACCATTTGAAGGACACCTAATATCAGCAACAATTATTTGACCCAATGGTTTCAGTCTAAATTTCTTAGCATGAACTTTCCCTAAGCAACCTGAAGGATCACTAAGGAAACAAGGAACAGAAACTGAAGAGAGAGAAGGAATTTTCTCAAGAGCCAAGACAGAGAAAGCCTTCCATGAAAGCCCTAAATTTGTACTGATATATAAGAAAATAAATTTGTGTTGGCAAAAGCAACCCAACTGTGGTATTTCTGTTATATCATCACTAAATAACTAAAATACTTGCAATGCCTGATTTAAATTTTATTCAATAAAAATTCATCTTCTGAAATTAATCTTTTTTTCAAAGTACTTCAGTGTCCCTGATTTACCCCAAGGATTCGTTCCATACATTCATTATACTTTATTACCACAAGTGAACATTTTAGAGTTTCTAAATCATTTTAACATCCATTTCCATTTGAATCTCATAGCAACATAGTAAGATATGCAGAGTCTGTAGTTCAAATCTGGTAGATGACTAACATGTGGTCTAAGCATTAAAGTTGTAGTCAAGCCTCACATACTGATCTTATCACTACAACAGGCCCTTCACCCCAACAGTTCTGAATTGGTCTCCATGAATGTTCTACATCCTGTCTCACATGGAATATTACCAATTCTTTGGTTCAAATACACTAACATCTCCCAGTTTTTGCCACCTAAGACAAAGAGTTAAGGAAGCTTTTAGACTCCTAGAAGCTTTAGCAGGGCATAAAGTCACAAGGATAGCTTCAAAATTTTTCATATTTACTACTTAAAGTGATAATAACAGTCTCTGTACCCCTAATGGCCATGGCAGCAGTAAGGGTCATGGTATTGCCAGTCTGGCGGTGGCCTCCATGGCTAAGCACAAGGGCCAGGGCCTTGCTGGTTCTGTGCGGATACAGAGTCTATAATGAGGACCAAGATCCAGGAGACCTCAGCAATCCTGATCCACCTGAGCCACAGGGGCGCTGATGTTCAAATCTTCACTCTGAATACATACAGATGCATGTAGTTCACCACACTAAGGGGTAGCTTTTGGAGACAGAGATCAAGAATGTTCTGACAGAATCAGCAAGGACTGCACAAGGGCAATACCTGGCCACACTTCGTACAGTTGACCTCAATACCGCCATTTTCCCTCGAGGATTTGGAGAAGCCCAAAACTTGAGCACGTTTGCTGTAGACAGGAAGGACTGACTGAAAAGTCAAAAGAGGGGTAGAGCACATGCGGAAGGAATTTCATGGCACTGGGAAGCCCACTGGCCTGTACTGCATCATGCCAGTCCTTGCTACCAGAGTGCTGTGGGGTGTGGAGGTCACC